ACTTTTCCATCATGGTGGTATGGATAGATATTTCATAGTTGTTCTGCCTTAGGCATTGCTACATCTTGGGTTATTGCTGGTAAATTTAACATTTAACCAAGAGAAAAAAAATCAAAAACTCTCATTTCATATATGAAATAGCTCTTGCCTATATTACCCAAGCCCTTGCAATAATCCCTGGAATCTCACTCTTTTTTTCATAATGTTTGGTACCATTATTATCAAACCATGCAGAGAAAGTCAGTAAGCAACTAGCACATGAAATTAAGTCTCTCTTTTCCCACAAGCTGCAAAAGCTTTATGCTTAGCATGGGAGTACTTGTAAAACCAAAGTAAACTTACTCTTCTCATGCTTTGTTTCAGTCATAACTAATACATTGCTATCATCATTTTCCTTGCAAGCTATTCAGATAGCATTGACTCTTGCTTCTCCTGCAGTGGCCTTTCATCCCATCCAAGAGGATATTTCATAATGGAAAATCAAAAGACCTTAATATCAGGCCTTGATATTTCATATGTACCAGCCCATTCATATGAAGCCCTCCTCTGCATTGCCCTCCTAACAAAGGGAAAAGTTTGCAAGGAGGGGGGCTTTCTCCAGCATAGCACCCCAACTTTGGCCATCAGTTCCACTCAAGGTCTGGTTGGCACCCATTCTTTCGGCTTTTAGGTGCCAACTAAAGACTTATTCGTTTAACAGTTATTTTAATAAGAGAATTTTTATGTATTAATGTGATTTAATTTTATGCTCAATGTGACATGATTTTAAATGTGAGTTATTTCTTTACCAATTTTAATGGGTTATGTTCTATTTTTGGAGTTTTTTCTATATATAATTCTATTTTTTTTTCTATTTTGGGTCTAATTCTGTTAACTTATTCATGGATTTTATTATTATTGGTCTTTCATCACTGTGTTCTATCTTGTTCTATCTTGCTTAGATTTTAACATGTTGTAAGCCACCCAGAAAGCCTATAGCTAGTGGGGCAGCATATAAATTGAATAAATAAATAAATAAAACAATAGGTGGATTTTCAGAAAGATGCAGCTGCGAATTTGATTGGAGTATTGTTCTCTAAATAAACAGACTTCTAGGGAAAAGGGCACATAAAAAATATCATAGGTTCCCAAGAAACTGCTGTTTTGCATCATTATAGAAGTCTACTTTAATCATACAGTGTTGGAAGACTTCATATCTGGGATAGAAGGCATAGTGTGAGTGAGAACTAAGTTTCTTGACTCTGAAGGAGGCACGGGAATGCATTATTTCACCACCCCTTGGTGTGGCTGTGAGTGATAATCTTTTTTGTGTATCACAGCTAACACTCAGCATGAAACCAATCCTATGTACACTTCCTTAAGAGTAAGCCCCACTTGAAACCTAGTGAAACTGATTACAGAGTAAATATGTATATCAGCAGGCAGCATGACCTAATTCTGCAAGTAGAATGAGGCTTGGCTACGAAGACCATTCTCTGATCTTTTTGCCAGAGCCCAAATAAACAAAGTATCCCATGATGCTGGCAGAACAAAACAAAATACTGCCAAATATTGAAGGATTTTGAAAGCTCTATTTCCAAATAAAATCATGGAAGTTTTTCCTTCTTTTCCCACCTTTAGAGATATATTGCTCTTCACGTTGGACAATTTTTACTATTTAGTATGCAATTTACATTAAGCAGGATAAGGAGGAATTTGTAAAGTGCAGCATGTTTTAACAGTTATGTTGTTCCAGTGAGTAGTTACTCCAGCAAGCTTACTGTAAATGTCTCCTATTTTCATAACAGCCCTGTAAGCCAGGGATGGACATAGCGGCTTGCTCACGTTCAACCAGAAAAGCAGGCTTAAGTGGGAATTTGAGTCTAGTGCATCCATAAATTTCATTGGAACCTGGTGCCAGTGATTCTGGGCTGAATCCAGATTTACATCAGATCAACTATGCTGATAGAATGGGCTCCCCTGATCCATGCTTTCCATAGGAGCCACTCAAAACCCTTGAAAATACTGTGGATAAAGTTAGGACACCCTTATGGATGGGGTGAGTTGAGGGGGACAGCAGGGGAAGAATCTTCCAAAAATGCACAGAAGGATCTTGTATGAATGGAGTCCTTCTTGGAGAAGCTGAATCCTGGATCCAAGTCACTATCTTAATACATGGTGACAAAATAAATTCTACCAGAACTTTGAAAGGTTAACCTGTTTTCATCTATCAGTTTAGATACAGATATAGTGAATTGTTTTATGTTGAAGACCTTAAGATAATCACCGCAGAATCCCTGAGTCCCATACTTCATGTTGCTTTTATAGATCTCAGTGGCAAATTAATAGTATTCTGTGACTTCTGTGTAAATTTACTGCATCATGTTTGGCCTAAAAGGCATCATGCAGTATTCATTCCCAACAGAAAATGATGCTATTCGATTTATTTGACTTTTTTAGGGCATTTAATCAAGGGCCAATGTGACAGTCTAATGGGATGGCACTGATGTCACATTCCCAAAGAGTCCGTTGTGCAATATTTAGTTTCCAGTTTGTACATCTCTGTGGCAACAGAGTATAGGGAAGGAAGAGCTACATTCTATTGAGTGTCAACCTAAAACAGATTAAATCCTGCCAGACAGAAATGTCTAGACAAAATATTGTACCTTGGCCACCAGTTTCTCTGAATCTGAAGCATAGTTCTTGGCAGAATGGCTTTTTCCATAAGTTCTCTCTTTTTTCTTTTTTGAAAAAAATTATGCCACTAGATTCTGCAAAAAGCAGGAATTAAGGTGGTTTGGACTGCACTACTAGCCCCTTCTTGTCTCTCTCAAATTGGGTAAATCCTTTCCTGTTCTAAGGAGAGCCACCCCCCCCCCCCCCCCCGCCATCCCCGAAAAGGCCATCTATTACATTCCATCACACAGTCCTTGGCACCATGTTGCATTATCTCCTTTTGCAGTTTTGGGGACAGCTTGGGTATTGCATGTGGACATACTTTTCTCCTTCCTTCTGCTTACTATTAACCCTCATTTACTATACTCAGTGGGCATTTTTCAAGACATGTTTCATTCTGTACCAACAAAAACTGCACAGGAAAATGCATCACACTGACCAGCATCAGCTTGACTGTAAAAGCCTATTGCGGTTGACTTGCATGTTTTTCCTAGCATAATTTTTCATCCTAACTTCCATTTATAACTGCAGGTAAAACTATCCAACATAGAAAACTGTTGAGTCCTATGGAAAATGTAACCAGTTAAGCCAGGATCTTGCAAAGAGATGATAAAATGCACTTGCTCCATAAGCTCCACTTGACTTTTTAACACAGATACCATTTCCAGACACATACTTTCAGACACATTCCAGACACATACCATTTCCAGTCACTATCCAGTAGATATCCTTCACTATTTTTGGGTAGTAGATGTATTTCAGAAGGAATATTATTTTTCATCATACATTAATTATGCTCCAGTCCCCAGCAAAGGTGTGCAGATAATGAATTTGTTTAAAAGCCGTTTCAAATGACAACCATTCTCATTCATGAAATTTCATGAAGGATTACTTCAATAGGTAATATATGCAGAGAAGCCTGAAATGGGGCTTGGGATGTTGAACTTTTAAAATGGAATTGTGGTGCACAAATTGACTAGTTGGCTTGCCTAACAAAAGAAGGTTTGTAAGCATTGCAGGAATGCAATTCTATAATATTGTTCACAGAATCACTGTGGAAGTAAAGATTCAAAAATGAGTTAGGTAAATTAGAGCATTATACAACCTCATTGAGCCTACAAAAGGATTTACTGGTATGCTTGATTACATGTATCCAAATTAATTATTTATAGCACAGAAAAAGACCTAAGAGAAACAAGCAAGCAAGCGAGCATGTAAGCAAGACCAAACAAACAAACAAACAAATGCTTCTTTTTTCATTTCTCAAAAGACTCCTGCTTGGAAGAGAAACATTCCTGACCCATGCAGCCAAGCAAATCACTATTAAAACAATGGGTATTGTGTTGCATGATGAAGATGAAGGAGAAGTTTTTTATTATTATAATTCCCAAAGGTTTGGTCAAAATCCATCTGTGAGCTTAACAGATGATACCAGAGCTGTAGAGGAGGGGCAGGGAGGGAGCGACAGCAGTTTAGACTCAAAGAACAAGGGGAGCATGTTTTAGGAGTGGCCTTCTTAACTGAAGGCTTTTAAGAACCCCAATTCAGGGAAGAATAAAGATCTGGAAAGGTGACACCATAACATCCAGAAAGCAGAAGAAAATGCAGGACAGGTAAGTGTGAGTAATCTCTTATATACTCTTATGCATGTAGATCAGATATGAACAAGCACAGTTGCTTGGAAACGGTGAGACCTCCATGCTGTGATGCATGTAAGAACACCCCATTGTTCTGCAAGGCTGAAGAACCCCACATTATATGGAAAGAGCATTTGATGGATTATGCCAAGTGTAAACTACCACTGTGCATTACACAGGCCCAACAGGATGCAAACTAAATATATATGCATATATGTAAAGTCAGAATGAGTATTGCATTTGTATTGCAAGGTTACTCCAGTGTGAAAGGTGCTTTGAATGTGAAAACAAATTATAGAAATGCAGTCATATTTTTGGCCAGATACCAGTCTTTATGCTTGGCAGAGTGGAATAGTTTGAAGAACTGTAATGGAGCAAGAACAAAACAACCCCTCAGAATGATGTTAGGATTCCAAAAGGAGTTTCTATATTTGTTCTATGACAATCTTAACTCTCTTATTGACCAAGTATGGGAAGAGCCACAGAAACAAATATTTGATTACAATATGTAGAAGGTCCTTCTGGAAATGCAGTTGACATAGTTGCTAGTCTGATGCATGTAAAGAAAGGGGGGTTTATGTAGAAGGTTTTTGCTATACAAACTTATGCAACCCTTTGGATTGGGCTCACCCACTGAGCAAGTACATCTAAATGAACATGATGTTATCCTTGAGGATTTGTAATGTGTGATAACGAAAACAGCTAATATAATTGGAGATACAAAAAGCAAAATACTTTATTGTAAAAGGACACATTTTCTTTTATTTATGAGAGATTTGGTTTTAGTTAGAGCAATAACCTCCCACTGAACTTTAAAAACCCAAATTAATCAGAACCTTAATTCCCAAAATTAGTTATATACTGTAAATATTTCTCTCTTAAAAAAAATCTGACAACTAGTAAAGTTTGAGCAATATATCTACTAGTTCTCTGTGCTGCCTGCATAGAAATGCCATTTAAATTACAACATAACACAACCCTATAAAAGATTAATTGTTTTTTACATTACCAATTAATTAATAAATTAACAAGATACAATTTTCCCTGAAAGCAAAGTATTTTTCACCTTTGGATGGTGATTTTTAAAAAAGAGAAGTCTTATGAATGAACAACAATTACAAGTAGCTGTTCCTTTTTTTAAAAGAAGGAGACTAATTTCCTTGTGAAGTGGGACATCCATTTTAAAATCAATACAAAAAATAATTCATTGTAAATATATAATATATATTTGTACATATTTGATTATATTTACATACATCCAAGCACCTATATACTGCATTTGTGCTCTGTAAGTGTGTGTCAACATATATTTTCTCCAAATATTACAAAATAAACAAGGAAGGCTGACCCAGTGCTTGCCTTAAGTCCAACTGGCCCATTGGATGTAGAAAGCATGTTGCGGTTTCCGGGCCAAAGAACTGCCCTGACATGTGTCCATGTGGCCCATGAAATTATTCTTCTGAATATTGTTTGGCATTCCAAAGCATCCCCCCAGTATAATTAGAACACAATATTGCCTATTTTTGTTTTCTTTTGGTCCCTACATTTCATATGTACAAACAAAACCCTCATGTGTCTGAAGAAAGGCTCTCTTTTTCACATGATAGGTAGACATTCCTTACTGCTTTGTGGAATAACAGAGGGCTCTTTTCATGTTTTAACACTGCCGTTTATGTGTTGGTACTTAGGAAGGCAAGGTTCATAAGGCATTGGATCAGGAGAAAAAACAGAGTCGTCTCCTGAAGAACAGGAACTCCTTGTGTCTTGATAGCTAGGTGAATACTGTTCCAGTGGTCCACTGAGATCTAAATATTCCTGCAAGACAAAGCACAATAACCACACAGACAAGTCAATCTCACATTGCCTTTAGGTTGAACTGTGGCAGGCATTACACATATGTCTTAGGACGTACACAAACACATTAATACCGCTCTGTATAAAGAACGACAAGTCATTTCACAACTGAATATTTCTTACAGCATGGGACTACGACTGAAGAAAGTTTCAAATCCCCATTCTTCTAGGAAGCTGGCTGGATGACCTTGGACTTAATCATGATCTCTGGACTGTCTGAAGGGTCACCTGTATGGAATGAGCTGAGCGCCAAAGTCAGCTACTGATCCCTGCTCGTCTGTTGAAGCTGTTATCTGTTAGGATGGCAGGTATGAGAAGCAGCACCTTTTCAGCAGTGGATCCAGTCTTGGCATGTTTTGAACAGACCTTCAAGGTCTAGCTATTTTGGTCTGCTTCTCATTATGATTTTTGTTGTTTTTAATTGTGAACTGCTCTGCAAGAGCCTTTAATCTTAAATGGCAGTGTATAAATACTTAAAACACACAAACCCATCTCACAGGGTTGGTGTGAGGATAACACAGGAGAGAGGAAGAACCTTGGCAACTACTTTACTCTTGTTGGAGGAAGAGGATAAAAGTGTAGTAGTAACTACACATAAAAACAGAAGTCATTGGACAAGTGTGAGAAAGAGAAGAAACACCAAAACAACAACAAAAGGGGGCTTTTGAGACAGATATGTCAGTTCCAAACATATTGACTTTAACCACACTAGCTGAAATGTATGCCCCAGCCACATCAAAAGAAAACAGTTTGCTTACGAGAATAAAAATGAAATTTCACCCTACATAGAACAATTTTTGTCCAACACATGGAAGTGATTTTCAGAGGGAAAGACCCTTCTGCTTGGTCAAGCTGACTACTTTCTATTTTGTAATAACATTTTAATAGGCACAGGTAACTTACTGAACTGAGCATCTCAAATATACCTTAAAAAGTCAGTGTAGTACAGCAGGGTACACGTTCTTTGCTCACAGGAGTTACTTGCATTAGTTTTTGTGCAACATAAAAACTTAGCAACCAGTTCTTTTAAGCAAGTCCCACTGAAATCAGTGAGCGCTAAGCCAAAGCATAACAGTGCCCTTGAAGCGTTCCCATTCATTTCAATGGGTTTCACACAGAATAGCGACTTGGTGAGTTGTGCCCGCTATAATTTAAGAAAGCTATGGGAGAGGGAAGAAAAAGGCTTGTAGCCTCAACTAAAGCCAAAGGCTGGACTAAAGAAATTCTAAAAACAACACTTCTGGCAGGAGAATAAAGCCCCCGGCCCCACCTCCACTGCTGCTGCCTTAAAATGTTGATTCCCTTTCAACTTCTGTACAGCAGCTGTATTCATTTAAGTGCAATCTCTTCATTTGCTAAACCACAGCTTATGATTCTAAGATAAGAAAAATCAATTAAATGAAGCTTTTTAAACAAATTTCCTGACTACCTTAACAAAAACAATTTTTTTAAAAAAAAATCACCATTGTGAACGTTGTTCTCTGAAGACAGTGATGATGAATCTAATGAAACAGCAGCACAATAAGCAGCAAAAATAGTACTGCACTTTTGATCTAGCATCGCTACACTTTCTCCTAAGTAAACTTTCACAGGTCTGTTCTCTGTGATCTCCATGCCTACCAAATACAATATGAATCTGCATGCACAGGGTAAAAAATGTGGCACCTCCACCATTAATGGCAAATCTTCCATTGACTTCAGAAGGAGTCATCATTTCCTCTACATAAATAAACATGACAGCTTTTAGGAACAAAAAGGAGCAGAATATTTCTGGCAAAAGTGGAAGGAGGAAACTCTTAGAACACCCAAAGAAAGATCATATCCTTGTGATTCAAGCAGATCTGGCAGACTCACATACTTGTTCAAGGGCCATACATATGGCCAGTTTTATGTAATAATTCTTCAGATCTAGTATAACAGCTGCTGTAATATGGAACTATAGGTTGATTGGTAGACTTTGGGAAGCCATTACCACTGAATGCACAAAGACCACCACCTCTCTTCTCTCATCGCATTGCTAAAAATAATATAAAGGAAAGACAATCCACCGAAGCTAAAATAATTACATCTAATATTTCTGATATAAACACCAGCCAAAGACCACTTGGGAAGAATCCACATTTCAAATTAAATGCAAATCTCATAAATCTTACAATTTGCAGCTATGCCAGTTTCCTAAATATCTTCCACTCCCAAACATAATATTTAACTAATGCTAGTGTTTTATAGACTCCTACATATTTATACATGTACAAGCCAAAAACAGAAAAATGACGAGAAAAAGAACCCACAAAGAAGGGGGTCAATTTGCTTTGCAAGAAGAAAATGGTGTGGGTCCCACATATACCACAATGTCATTGAGTTTATTTACATAAGAAATTGGCTGATGCCCATATACTTGGGGGCACCGTTGCAAAGTGCCTAAATGTGTTCTCAGACCTTGGCATTACAGGCAGGGATCCTGCAACAGGGATGTGTGCAGTGTGCCTTGTGTGAAGTTTTATTTTTTAGTTGTTTCGTTTTGGCAAGAGATAATTAAAGACATTTCACCAAGCCTTTTAAAGAGGTTCTAATTACCTCTTTAAGGTCTACCTGATCTTCAGTTTCTTATCTGGACATTATGCATCATTTCAGATTCCTAGTACTTAGATTTATCACAGGAGTCATTTGAGCAAACAGATGTTTAAGAAGCAAGTTCTTCCCTCACCTCATTAGTTGTAAGAGTGAGGATCCGATCTAAGTCTTCCACCAGCTGCTTAAAAGTAGGTCTCTGTGAAGGCACTGCATGCCAACAATCTCTCATCATCATATAGCTGCAGAAAACAACATTTCATTGTGTCAATTAACTCAATGTCTATTTCACACAACATTCATAAGAGCAATAACTCTGCTGTTTCCCTAACATTCAAGGCATGTTCGTGTGCTGGAAAACATGTCAGCAAAGAGCAAATTATGATAGTTCTTGTGCCTGACCTTTACATGCATTTAATCCTGTTCCTTTCCCACAATACAAAGACAGTCCCTCTATGGCCCTTCAGATATTCTTGGATTACAATTCTAATCTTCCACTGCCATTCACCATAATGATAGAGACTGATAGGACCTGCAGTCCAGCATCATCTGGATGCCCCTTCAACAGAAAGTTCTTTCCCCAAAAAGAATATTTATTTATTTATTTAAAATATTTATATGCAAAAAGCCTCAGGACGGCTTACGACATAAAATATAACATAAATAAATGTTTTGCACTGTTATTTTGTACTGTTATCTAATATTATAGATAATATTATAGATAATATTCACTGTTATCAGTGAATAGTTTGCACTGTTATCTAAAAGACTGCATGTTGGCAAAGATTCATCATTCATCTTGTCAAGCAGAGAAGTGTTACAGTTCCTCTGCTGCTGCATCACCAGGCAACGGCAGTTTTACCCACAGCATGGACTTTTGATATTCGCACTACATTTTTTAAAAAGGCTGAAAAGCACTGAGGCTACTAAGCTCTTGCTGGCTGTGTATCCCATCACTGTGCAAAGAAAATGCTGGACCACTCACTCAGCCCAGCCTCCTCACATGCATGAACTGTGTGTTTGTGTGTGTGCACGGATGGGGGTGGGAGAGTGAGAAAGAGACTGGGAGAGAGAGATCAGCTTGCTGTAATTTAAAAAAAAAGAAGCAGAGCAAGCATTTTGTTGCTATTACATGAGAGTACCCTGCCCAGCCCATAGCCCACTAAGGAAAAATCCATACAGTTCATTGGTGCAATTGGCAGGTTTGTCCATTCTGTGTCCCTCTTTAAGCAGCTTGAAAAGCTCCTCCACTGGAATTCCAGGGTATGGTGAGCCTCCTAAAGTGAAGATCTCCCACATCAGCACACCAAATGACCATCTAAAGAATTTTAAGAAAAGAGATAAAAATGAGACTGAACATCATTTACAAAAGACAGCATAATAACACAAACACCTGGCTGCTTATTAGCTGAGCAATACATTTGCATGGCTTAACAAAGAGGCTCTGCTGCTCTTGCTGCTGACCGCTGGGTGTGCAAAGTGAAGACAGACAGATGCTTAGGCTCTTCTTGCAGCCCCTATGGCAAAGGGTCTGGAACTAGAACTGGAACCCTGCTTTAGCCCCTTGGGCTTTCCCAACCAGCCTCAGCTTCATTACTCAAACCACCAATTGTTTGGTGGTTTTTCACTTTTTGCCAGGTTTTTGAAATTATTATTCTGAAAGGTTGAAATGTTTCTCTTGGGCTTATTTATGCTGGGATTTTGGCCCCACCCCTTTACCTTTGGCCCCTCCCACTAGGGGAATGCAGCCCCTGAGAGCTTCTCCAAAATTGAATTTGGCTCTCAGCTAGCTGTTCTAATATAACCCAAAATCTCTTCTTGCCTTATGAGGAAAATATACCACAGAGTTCTACTATTTGAATTACGCAAATCTGGCCTTTCAAGCTGTCTCAACAAGAGATTTCCTAGAAACCATATATAAGCAGCTTTGAGTTCCTTGGAGTGAGAGTGTGGAGTACAACAACAACGACAAATTCACGATTCAATTGGGACCATGAGTGCAAATGTGAGCAGGAGCTGGTAGAGCTTGGCACAGATCTAAGCAAGCCACTGTAACCTTAAAATTCTAATAATATCCACTTGCAAGTAAATCTTTCTCATATACTCAATTACCCATAAAGTCAGGCCGGGGCAAGGCAAAGGAATCTGGATGAGACGTTTGCCCGAAACTCCCTCCTGGAGGCCTCAGGAGGTAGTGTGCTATTAAGTCCAATCAGCCAGAAGTAGTTTATAATAGACTTAGATCACACAGAAAGCAAATATGTATATCAAACATTTGTGCTGAAAGGACACCTGACTGGTATACAACTGCTCTGGAACAAACACTGTTTTCCTTCTCAGAAGGTTTTCACTATTTTGCTGCCAAACCTTAATGTGAAAACTTGAGCTATACAAATTACAAACAAACAAATAGCCTTTTGGGCAACACAATTCACAATTCCATGTTTGATTCACAAGATGTTCCCAAAGACTACCCATTAAAAATAGTACTTTGGAGCGGCACATCTGTAAATAAAATGAAATGAAACAAAAAAGAGGTTCAGGGGAAGAAAACTTCCGCACTGATGAGAGGAAGGCAGTGTCTTCTACCTTTCATGAGCTTTGAAGCCAGCCAGATTAGTAACAGAGCACTGGTTTGCAGTCTTCCAGAAAATCCTCACTTTCTAAGGCCACCTCCCACTCTTTCTTTCTGTTAGTGGGGAATGCTACAGCAAGCATGAGTTTCAGAAAGGCAAGGAGGGGAAAAATAAGATAAAAATCTACCACAGTGAGATCAACAATATTGCTGAAAGAATGAGACCATAGGGCAGGAATGAAGTTGAAAATAACCATTGTTTTCTTTGGTTCTGAAGTCTAATATGGCAAGAGAAAATGCCCTTTTCTTTTTCTTTTTCTTTTTCTTTTTTTTTTTTTTTTGTTCAAAGGGTGAAACAAACCTTATATGAAAACTTTTTCCAGCTTTTTAACTAGCCAGAATAAAGATGTCTGACTTGAATGAAATTAATTTCCCTTGGTGGATCAAAGGTTGAGAGAAAAGGTTAGAGGAGGCATATTTTAATCAGTTGAATATAGTTCTAGTACATGCACTTGCACTGGAGGAAGCTGTAAATTAATTTCTAAATGATAAAAGAAATGTTTAAGATAAGGTTACTTACACATCACTTTGATGTGTGTAAACTCTGTCAAAAAGAGCTTCTGGTGCCATCCACTTCACAGGCAACCGACCCTGAGCAGAAAATAGAAAATTCAAAGTTAGGTTACAAAAAGGTTTACCATGATTCATTAGTAAATTTTAACAATTAATTTTGCAAAGATTATTTTAAACTTCAATGCCAAAAGTAGTGTGTTAAAGGATATTAATTTGTAATGTGAGCAAATTCTATGCCCCTAGACATTGTCTGAAGGGGTCACAGAATAGTGGTGATTCCTCTTTCCAAAATCGAAGCTAGCTCTCCAACCTCAGAGGGGGCAGCAGAGATTTGGCCCTGCCCTCTTGCAGCAAGCATGGAAAGAACCACAGTCGAAGCTCAGAAAGTCAACTTCAAATGGGAGAAATGGGGCATTCCATGGGACAGAGATGGGAAGAGAATAGAAAGGCCAGAATATGGTTTGTTTTGACCTCTTTAGCTGCCTTCTTTCCCCTTCCAATGCACCTCCCTAGACAGGTAAAAAGCCCATCTAATGAAAAAATGCAACAGTAAGTTTTCTGTCTCTCAAGGGTACAACTTATAGGATTGTGTCCTAATACAGTTGTGATTCTTATCAATGTCTGTAATCAGAACTGTACTCAGGCCTGAAGGGATCAGCAAGTCAATTGCAATCTCCTTCTCTCATTCTCCAAAGATCAGTTTACCACTGAACCCTCTGAATCCAAAAAACATTTTACTTTGGTCTAGTGAAATATACTAAGGGGTAAGTTCATTGAAATGTGGAAAGTGACCATGAGTGAGCAAAGAAAAGGAGGATGCCTTTAAACAGTACTCTGCCACACAGACACTAAACCACTGCATGTTAACTCAAGATGCCCATATAACAGGATGAGGGCATACAATAGAGCTATGTTGAAGAAGTTAAGCAGGTCTTGGTCTGGTCAGTATTTGGATTAGAGAACCCAAATCTACAGCTTCTCCAGTTCCGTGATGGGAAAAAGTGGGATATAAATCTATAAATATATAATATTATGTAATATATAAAATGTATTTTGTGTGTGTGTGTGTGTGTGTGTGTGTGTGTGTGTAATGTTTCCTGCTCAACAACAGGTAATATGATATTATGTTTCTGAACGATGATGGAAAGGCCATCATTTTAGAATGATGCCCTCGTTCTCTATTTTCACACTGTCAAAACAGTACCTGATGATAGCTGTAACCACAGATACTCATTTTTTAACTCTGTAAGCAGTTGGCACAGTAGTGAGGGCATACAATATAAATCAAATGCTCCTGCATGCTAACCAGTGGTTTGCTGAGAAAGCTTCTACTGACTCCAAACTGAAATGTGGGTAACATAAGACCACTCCAAAACTAAAACCAAATGTTAGCAATTACGTAATGGATGCATTCCACAAAATCATTCATTGATTACAAAAAGGAAAATTTATATTTATATTCAGTATCTAGCTAACAGTCAAAGAATGTGCAAGAAGTTTCATGGAGACCATAAAAAGCAAAGGCTAAACCTTATCCTTTAGAAAGCATCATGTAACACATACTCTCCCAGGCTGTGTAAGCAGATAACCTTCCTTTCCCAGTAAAAAGGGGTTAGGCATCTTTACACACTTCCCTATTATTTTCATTTCTTTGATTAAAAGTTAGGCTGCTGTACAAGAAGTCCATTAGGAATACATTTGCTATACTTAAATGCTTCACTGAAAAAGATACTGGATCAAGTGATAAGAGTGCCATCCACTTACATTAGTAGTCTTTTTATAATAATCTATATTGTTGATGTCTCTGGCCAACCCAAAGTCAGCTATTTTCATGACGTTATTTTCAGTTACCAAAACATTCCTTGCTGCCAAATCTCGATGGATACACTGAAAAAAAAGGGGGGGGGGATCAGAAGTTATAGAATTTACATAACTCATCTATAACTCAAACATCCTTTATCAGGACATGGAGATTCACCAATCAGAGCCAGAAACAAAAGACATCAAGTTAGAAATGAAGGATTCTGAGGCCGAGAATTTGATGTGGGTTTTTATAGTACCACAATGTAGCTGACCATTTTCCACACAACAATGTACTCCTAGTTTCACATATACAGTCCGCACATTTTCTTCATTTCAGCCAGCACTGTAATTTAGGATAGAAGAGGTGATTTGCTACTGTTGAACAACTGGTTGTTGCTACTGTTGAACAATTGGGAGAAATCTTTGCTAATCTTCGGCAAATCTTCTGCAAATTACCCAGAGATCTGCCAGTGCATCCTGAAACACTTACACTGGAATATATTAAATGCACCCTAGACAATTCAGATACAAAGGATTTTCATGATCCAACTCTTTTTCTTGAGCGCTGTTTCCCCTTCTGAGAGAAAACGTCACAAGATTCTCCAGCACCAGTAAAAATCAGCACATGTACTTCAGGCACAATTAACACAACCACTGGGCATGCTATAGGATCATAGATTAAAAGAGTTGGAAGGGGCCAGATGGCCACTGGGTCCAACCTCCAGCTGTGCAGGGCACTAAGTTACACCATCCCATTCAGATAACTGTCCAGATACGTTCTTGAATGTCTCCAGTGAGGGAGAGCCCACAACTTCCACTATCAGTGGAAGGAAATTCTTCTTGGTGCCTAATCTAAGTCTGGTTTCTTTTAACTTAAATTTGGTATTCCATGTCTGGCACTCTGGAATGGATGAGAAAAGATCTTGTCCTTCCTCTTTGTGACGACTTTTTAGGCACTTGTAGAGTGCTATCGTGTCACCCCTTACTCTTCTCTTGTTTAGGCTAAGCATGCCTGCTTCTCTCAATCTTTCCTCACAAGGCTTTGCCTCCAGTCCCTGAATCATCCTTGTGCTCTTCTATGTACCCTTTCTAGTACTGGTATGTTCTAGACTATTAAATAAAGTGATGCAAAAATATTGCTAAATTTGAATCAAACAAGTAACATGATCCCCAACAGCACAGCTAATTTATAGCTTTTCATATACATTTAAATTTTTAAAGATTCATTTTAAAAAAATCCAGATTAAAATTCTTTGAAAATAATACAAAATTACTCAGAAGACTAATTTTCCTTTGAATGGGGAAATTTAGTGTGGAATTTCTGGCCTGCAGGGTTGTAGATACTCTCCATCAATTAAAATCAACTTTTATGGCCTATTTTTAAATATAATCTATTTTAGTGTCCCCACCTCATAGTCAGCTATTTGTATGAACTCACACCCATATACAGGATTTTTTTTTCAGCAAACATCAGCAGATGTTTGATGGAGTTACTTTGCAGTAAAGCACTAAATACTACCCTAGGAAACAGATATATATGCCCAGCATGCCAGCATTTCCCATTCACACAGTGGTTAGATGAACTAGTCCTCAGTCACTGAACAACACATGAATATATGGGAAGGGAGAGAAGGGAAGGACACAAACTTCTTTAGTCTAACCCCTGGACTTGAGGCAGGACTGACTATTCTGAAACCATATTGGTAAAAACAATTCAGTTATTTTAAGGTGTTCCTATCCTTAAAAGTATTCAAGCAACATGTGCCAAATGCTTTCAAAACAGTCCCCCTAAGAACCAATCTAAATTTCCCTGCCACTTAAAACCAGCTGATTTTATCTTCTGCCACTGAAATGAAGCCCTATTTTATGCAGTGATACTAAATAATTATTTTCTACTTTATGCATGAGACCATTTTAAAAATCTAAAGATTACAATCAAATCCTTCCCCCATTGACTACAAGATAAATCTCTTGGGAAATGAATTTGAGTCTTATAGCTCAGTTTTGTACTACAATAAAAGGTCTTCATTCCACTGAATCAAATGCTCAGGACTGTCAATAATTTTTGCCAAAGACTGCTCCTGGAATATTTCTCAAATAGTCTCACTCTATGCCACATTTACAAAATAGACAAAATCAGTGTGGTTTTATTTCATAGAAGCATATAAAAGTGAAGGAACAACATCAACAACATCAATGAAAAAAGAATCCTAGCTTTAAAGGATAGAAATGTAGCACGTTTCTGTCCCACTGTGATAGTAACCATATTTGCTGACTGCTTTTGGAGACTATTAATAGTGAAATAGTGAAGTCGGCTCCTACTCTTAAGCTTTTTCTTTTCGATCACAACAACACTTTTTGAAAATGTGAAATTGACCTTTCTTGACTCAGCAAAGAAATCTTGCCTTCTGATAGCTTGCTTAAGCACTTCTGTCAGTTGTAATAAAAGATAAAAACATGTTGTGAAACATTCGACTGTATTTGTCCAAGATAACCTACATTTTCAGGACAACAATGCATGCTTTTGTTGATGCATCCACTTCTAAATGGGTAAAATCCCACATAGATAGGCTTAAATGGAGAGTATGTGAATGCAGAAAAGAAATGGCTTGTCTCAATTGCCTCCGTCCAGCAAGAGAGTTGTCCATGTGGAAGCAGGCTTCTGCATGCGCATCTGCTGCTAGATCCGGGGTATCAGAAGGATGCTGCACACACTTCTTAGGGCCAATGCTCTTTAGTTAGTAGAAGGGATGACATACCAGTCTCCTGATCCCTGACTGGGAGCTATGTGCACTAAACTAGACAAATGGTCAACACTCTCAACTTTGTACATTGCCAACAACATGTGAGAGGTGGGGGAAGAGACTACATCCAGGTCACCTATTCCTTCATCCTATCGGGCAGATTATCAGCACAAGCAAGGACATTTTTCAAAGACTGAATTTGAATGAATTGTCACTTCATTCCTCACTTTAAAAATTCATCTAACAACAGGCGATGTTATTTGTTACTCAGTTTTCTTCTCATCACCAGTCAATTTTTAATCACTTGAGAAAAAGAACTATATTCAGTAAAACATATCCCAGTCATTCATTTATGTTTCTTGTCCCCTGTAGTATGGTGGGGCAATTGTAGTACAGAGATTATCATCTGTCAATCAATTACACCTGGAAATCATTGTAAATGAGATTTGTCCCACATTATACCCAATGCCGAAACACTATTACTGGCATACAAATACGGTATTATAAAATAGCCACAATCTGGAGTAGAAACATGACTGTGATTGGATGAAACACATTCTCAATGTGTTTATACTTCCAAGACTATTATAGATGCTATACGGGTTTGAAAGGTGGGGGGAGGGGGGGCTAGCATTCCCCATCATGTGGAAAGTTCTACTCAAGTCCAAGCAAACATAATGTAGAGATTTGGCCTAATCCACATATAAAGCAGCCTTCAAAGAATGTGGAATCAAATTCTAATTCAGATGAAGAGGAAGGATCAGAAGTAAAATGCCAAGGCAAATAGGCCCAGAGATAAGCCAAGTAGTTGCAGATCGTCAGACAATTTCATATTTTGCAAGAAAGTTTTACGGAGTAAACTGATATGCACCCAAAGCAGTAATCCAAGGATATGGCATCAGGTTAAGAGATGAGAAGCATCAGACCCTCCAAGTGATTGACCGTGAAACAGAAAAACCCATCTTGAAGATAAAGTCTGTTCTTTTCAGTTTGGAAACAGGGTATACTTGGTTTGGATTCAGCTTTTTATCATTTTGCTGTACTTTCCTGATGGCCAGTATGGCTTGGTCAGTATAGGTTGGCTTTTTTCTTTTGTACTTGACTTCTGTAAAATGTTTCTTTTGCTCTAAAACTCCAGCCTAGGCAGACTTTAATGTAATAAAGACTTTCATTTAGAAAGGCCTTTTCCTAGACTGCTTGGAAGGAGAGGGAGAAAAATGGCCATAAGACATGAGTGGAATTTACATTTTGGCATTCAACATGGAAGGGGTGGGATCTGATGGGGTAGGACTGGAATACACTGGAGCACAGGGGCCAGGGCCAGATAGCCCCGGACCCCATCCCAGGTTTCTGTATTTTATCCAACTTAATACCTGAAAAGTATTTATGACTATATTAACAGCTGCTGCCGCAAAGCTGCCATGGAGAACATGACTGTTTACATCCACTGCTATACAATTCAATGAAACAATAGCAGATAAACTCATTTCAAACCCTCAGTTGCGTGCACTGAAGCATGCAATACCAATTTACAGTTGTGACCTAATCCATGCAGTTCTAGCTGCCTCTACATCTATTATCTGCAGGTAATGTCAGGCAGTTCTCAGGATCTCCAACCCTCAGATGTTTAAGTGTGTACCAAAGGGTTCTGATGAAGACAGACTCAGCTTGCTTCCTTAGAGAAAGAACAGTCAGTGTGGGATTCACAGCCCTCCCTGTCAAAGGAAAAGTCCTGCCATCAGCCTCTAACTCAGAGGAATAGTCCTCAGAAGAACCTCTGTCTTGCCAGACTTGTAGAAATCTAAGACCTCAGAATCAGATACAGGCTCTTTAACAACCCAGTCAGCTTTTCAGAAAGGATGGGGAACTAACAAGGATGGAGAACAGAACTTGCCAGCCTACTTAAGTTTTCAGTTGGCCTTAACTCCACACTGAGACAATATCCATGTAACTTTAAAGATAACTTTAGTTAGCAGGACCCAGTTGGAATTGTCCAAGATAATGCTCTAATTGATCTTCTGTGTAAGAGGATTACTTTGCCTGCCCTGACTTGACTCTGTCATCCTTAACCATACTTACCTACTTTATCTGAACTTGCCTGCTTTGACCAGATTTTAATTGCCTTGATCAGATTTCATCAAAAACTACTAGTTTCCTCTGAGATCCTCAGAACTCCAAGCAACATGGGTTTCCAATATCTCTTTTTGTCAGGGGTTCTCTCTTTTTGTCACTGCTCAGTCATGGCACCTTTAAAAACTCCCTGCCCCCAGCCTACACATCTAGTGAATAAAAGAGTTACATAAGGACTCCAGGATTTCTAGCCCCCACTCAGCCATAAAACTTACTGGATGACTTTGGTTCAGTCACAGACAATTAGCCAACCTACCTTACAGGGCTGTTGTGGGATAAAAGGGAGAGAAGAACCTTGTAAGTTGGCTTGGATTCTTTCAAGAGCAAGAAAGGTGGCATATACATGTAATGTAATAATTATCTTCATAATAATACTTATGACTTCCTATAAATAAATAACTAAGTGAATGCTACACCTGTAAAATGAAAGGTTGCAAACTCAGGACAAAAATATCCTGAAACAGCTGTGGATCCATTTGCTAAGGAAGAACCATTTAGGCTCACTAAATTAAGACACAACTTTTCCATAGAACCTACAGAATCCTAATCTTTTTCAATTAACGTTTCACATTTTTAGAATTCTAATAATAAAAAGCATCTAAAAACTGGCATGGGTTTTTGGTGTATTTTTTACCTGTCTGGAAATTCAACTAAGTCCATACTACTAGGAAATGCTGTCATTTCTAATGTGACAAGCAACATTTACATAGAAGCACTGATGACCAACTCTTAGACTATTTGTATTATAACTTACTTGGTAGACTTTCTTCCAGCTTACCACTCCCACTTCCCCAGTAATATTGTGGTCAGGTCAACAACAAGGCCAGTTAAGTTCCATCTAACCCAGGACTAGCAGAACTGTCCTTGCACCTCTGCTATCATCCTTATTCAGACAACTGAGGAAAGGACTATGGTGTGTCATAGGCTGGATTACATAGGAAATATTAGGTTTAAGGCTCAGTTCTATGCAAGTTTAGCTAAAAACTAGAGCCTGCTGGGAGTTTTAAGCCTTTTTTCTGTTTACTCTCATAAAGGATTGCACCCTCACTCACTTATAACAAGACAATGTGTATAAATAGAGTAAACTAGTCAATGTGTGTGTCTTTGTGGAGCTAATATTATGCTGTTTCAGCTAGTTTTCTCAGCAGGCAAATATTTTAAGTGGAGACACATGGCTAATTTGTTCACAGAACGTTGCCGCTTCTTCTTTTCACCAGTTATCTAATGCTAGCATATATAACTCCCTTAAAGGCTCTAGGGAAACAAATGTGTATGTGTCTCCCTCTCTTTCATATTCCGTAAGTCAGCACAATTGTGTGGCCTTGGCTTAATAAGCAAAGTTTCAAGGTTATGTTTTTCTTGCCTGCCTGGCTAAGCAGCTCACAGTTTATCCACATTAGTATTTGAATTCATGAATCCCTAAGTTCATTTTGTAGTATTATTTGCTGAAGATTTATTTTCTTCCCTGACTGCATCTTTAACAGAAACCTTAATAAGCACAACTGAGAGTTCGATTAGTTTTCATATCTGTTACCAAATACATTTGGACTGCTTTATTGGAACCTTTATGAAAAATTTTGTTGGTAAAAAAGTTACTAATACATTATTATTATTAAGAAAGCTGAAAACGTTATTTAAAAAAGATTAGCTGAAACACTTCAAAGCAAGGGTGGTCATATTGTTCAGCACTATGGGCTACTAACATTTTTACTTTTACTTTTGGTACCCTTGATGAACATAATTTGCAAAATACTTTATGACTATAATTGCTGCCGGCCACATCTGGAAATGTTCTGCAATTCCAGATTAGTGAGGCAAGCTGAAATCTCACTTCACCTCGTGTTTCCAAATGCGCAAAATTGTCCTTCTCCCCATTTAAGACTCATCAGTTAGGCTGATCAATAGTGCTCCAACTTCTGTGTACAAATCATGACAACAGCATATTAAAATCAAGAGACAGGCAGAAGCGGCAGAAGACAATGAAGAAGAAGTGGAAGGAGAAGAAAACGACAATGACAATGAAGCAAAAGCAGCAGCAGCAGCTGATTTTTAAGATGTCGTGTTGTCAAGAGTCAAACAATCCAATTTTATCCTGCAGCTATGAGGATCATACAATTGTTTTATTACTACTGTTATTATTCACCATTTTTACATTATTAGGGCTAGGTAGTCAACATAATGGCTTAGATACTAAGTTACTCCATCACAAACAGGAAGGCTTCCATGAGCAGGAGCAGGAGCAAGCCTTTTTTGCCAGCTCCTTCTTTCCTTGGTAGTCCCCAGTACTACCTCCTATGCATTTCTGGATGATATTCTGCTCTTCCAGAGAATCCAGAGCAGAATACCAGAGCAGAATACCACTTCCAGAGCAGAATACCACTCAAGGGAATTTGAACTTCTAAGCCAGCTTATAGCAGGGGAATGAGATATGCTGATCTGTTTTAATAGCATACCAAAACAACCTCTTGGCGTGTCAAATGCCCATGTGATCAACAGAACAATGGAAGACGCCAATGCACATAGAACTCAATGTATGTCGACTCAAACTGCAAATACTTCAAACCTCAGTCTCAAACCTCTACAAAACCTCTACATTCAAGCACTTTTCAGTGAGAAAAACACCTGACAATTCTTCATTGTTTTCTGGAAGTGGGGGCTATAGACAGAGTTCTCAAGTTTAATGAGGGCTCCCCCATTTACTTCAACACAGTGGGAAAGACCTACACATGCAATCCATTTAAATTTACAAGTAAATCATGACACCAACATATGCAACAGCTCCTAATGCCATTCTTCATTAGGAGATCTCATTCTTAAAACTTAACCATTCTTTTGTGAGATGGAAAAAACAGCCCACATGGCAATTAAAACTATTTTTGCTGTCTTTAGTGGCCGTCAGATACCTGGATAGTATCACCATTCAAAAGCAAAAGAAAATATTTTAATAGCTTCGGCTTACTTTTTGTGATGCTAAGTATTCCATGCCTCTTGCCAACTGGTATGTACATGAGACTAAATCTTTGAATGTCATCTGCTCTTCGGGTACCCGGTTAATATCAAATGAATATTCCATTCCTGGTGGCCGCCGAGCTCGCAGGTACTCTCGCAAATTCCCTTTTGAAGCATATTCAACGAGCACATACAGTGGCCCTTCAAAGTGAGCACATACACAGAATGAGAATGAAATGTGGGACAAAAGGGGTTCAGTAGACTAACCCAATAGGTACAGTTGAACCCACATTTTCAGATTGGGGCAGGGGGTAAAATATTAATACTCATTATTAATAAAATATTAACACTCACCCTATCTCTAACGCAAGTAAGAAATGTAATACAGTACAAATGCAATTCTTTAACATCAACAATTATGGCCTGATAACGTCACATGTACTCACACACTCTTTTTCCGATGCACATACCCACTTACCCACTCCCAATGAATATGTACAAGAACACCAAACAGATTCAGTGACCCTCTTCACCCAGTGTCCCTGTTTGCTCATCCTGAAAAGCCTCCATGGGTTAATTTATGTGTGTGTCCTGCAATAATACACTGGGCAACTGCCAAGACTTCAGCAGGGATAACTTGAAACTTGCTGTATGATATGGACACAACTTGGGTTCTTGGCATGATTATTTTAGAGTTGCAGTGGTTGCTTACCCAAGGCAAGAACCCACCCTGGCCAGGTGTGCACAACCACTGCTGCTTGCACTTTCCAAATGTTGGTCAGTGTACTCCAAGACACGCAGGTAAGTTAACCCATGGTGTCTTGTCATGATGTGTGAAACATGTTTTTAACTACACTTTCACATTCATACTGAGAATTCCAATCTTACTGAGAGCTGGGGGCATATACAAACTTTACACTCTTTGACCACAGTGAAAGGAGCTTTGAGATTAAAAAATAATACACGATAATGCAAAAGAGCCAGGAAGCTGGACCTCTAGCCCAATCCATGTATTATGAAAACTGGAAAATTCACCAGGCAAGGGGGCTCACATTGAGTAGTTCTAGCCACATACATGGCATACATTATGTAATCATGTCCTTATCATCTGTGCGTACACAACTAACGTCTGTAGGAAGGGGATCTCCGCAAGAATTGGAATTGCAAGTTCCTCTGACTTGATCAGTGGTCTATGGACATTTAGGCTGTACTGATTGATATCAGGAACAGAACTACTTAACATGCATCAATGTCAGAGCATAGGGTTATTCGCTACAATCCCACTTCCTGCTCACATGATGAATTTTCCCAGTTTTGCAAAGATGTGAAAAGGTTTCTAGCTCATGTGAAATACATCTCACTGCTTCTCTCACCACAAGGAATCATGCAATATCCTCTGAAAGGGCTATCCAAGCATACGCTCTCCCCACACAATCAGATTAATTTTTCAACCAGAGATTTCCTTTACAGGGAGTTCCCCTCTCCCACTTTTCTTCTGTTTTCAGTTACAGAAGAAACAGTAGGGAAACAAGTATCCAAGGAGGATAGAATGGACTGAATTATATTAATACACCCAACCTTTGCAGAAGATGGAAGTAATGCATGGAAAACAGGGAAAAGGAGGCAGATAGATTATCTATCTACAGTATTTTGTATACCACTCTAGACAGATTCCAATAAGGCATTGCAAGTCTTCACCAGAATCTCTGAGGCCTAAAATGCTGGGTGCCAGCCTTGTAACTTGCCTCTTTAAGTTCTAAACACTGCTTCCTGAGTTCTTCAAAACAGAGATGGTCTGGCATCCACCTGCCCCTCACCACTTCCTCTAATAGTGGCATTTTCATTTCACTTGCACAGAATTAATAGCCACTCTGGATTACATAATGAACTGGCATTCTTTCATCTTCCCTAGTTTGTAAAATCCAACTGACACTCACCATCCTGTGTGCATGCTCCAAGGAGGTTGATGATATTTTTGTGCTTCCCAATCATTTTCATCATCTCCATCTCAGACACCAGGTCAGACAGGTCTTTTTCTGTGGCGTCATCTGAACAAGAGAGAACAAGTTCCATGGACAGCTTTAAGTGATGTGTCAGCCCAATTAACTTTTCTTCATTAACAGCTACACTGATTGAGTATCTATTATCCAACTTGTATGATACAGTTTAAAGACCAACACATTATGGAAAGAAAATGCAGGCTTATACATCTGAACAGCACTTTCCTATCATATTGGTCCTAAGCCAGCTCTAAAATAAACTATTTTCTCTTCTGTTGTCTCAGGTGCATGCCCTGCTTCTTTTTCGGTTAAACTCCACAAGGAAGTAGGAAAGGAAATCAGTTAAGAAGAAAAACAAGCATGAAGAAAATATATAGGGCAATATACTACTACCACTACCACTGCTAGCATATGAGACCGCTAGCGTAGCACAAATAACATTTGCCTGGAAGCATCTAAGAAGGGACTGGAGTTGCTCTTTCAGAATGGATATTGCAAATTATAACTTTGCCTCTGCCTGCCTGCAAATCAAATTTAGGTCCTCCTAAACATGCAGATCCTGAACTGCTCCTGAGCATAACAATATTTCCCTTCCCCCTGTAATGTTGACTAATTCTAGTTCCCTCTTGCATGAGAGGCAGAGGGATGGTTTTCTTCCCTGTATGTGATCATGGCTGCCAGCAATCCATTATTTCACTCTGCTGAATGAGGCTGCTCCCCCCGCTTTTTTCTGTTTTTAATAGAGATCCAGAAGATGAAATTATGTGAGGGTGACAATGTTTCAGTATAACTCACTAGCAACTGGGTTTCTCCACAACTCAACATATTATTTATGGCACATTATGGTGTAAGATACAAATTTACATTGCAGGATAAAGCTCAAACCAGTTTCCAAGAGGAAATCGAGGGGGAAATTGTCTTGACAATTTAATTAAAACCTTGTTTAATGATATTTCCTTATCTCTGTGCATGGAATGCAAATATCCCAGGTAAGAACAACATACTAGAGAATTATTAGTAAGAGATCCATTTAATTTATCTTCAGTTTTTCAGGTTTTCTAGGATTATACTATTCTACTGATTAGTAGATTATACTGATTGTATACTAATTGTACTAAGCTGATTAAACTATTGTGCTAAGTAATAATGACCTATAATAGCTATCTTCATAACTATTGATCTATATATCACACAGCACCCATCCTAGATGGTTGTGTTATTTCCTTACAGACAATTTTAAACCTAGTACAATAGCTCTTTTTGTATGCCCAGGAGGCACTGGAAAAATAACCACCGGGCAGATTCCAGTTGCTGCCCACCTGCTAGTGGACCTGGCTTTCTGTGACTTCCCTTTCCAAAAATGGACATTCCCCCTTATTTCAGGTTACTCCGGAAGGCATACATCGCCATTCTGCAAGCAAACGGAGCTGCCTGCAGAATGGAATTGGCAGGGCTGGCCACATAACAGCAGGGCTGGATTCTGACCATTATCTGCTGCAAATGGCTGCCATCATTCAGATAAAATGGTAAATATGCATTTTTAAATTAAAATTTCAGGACATCTCTCACTTTATGTTTATATGTCTTTGTAAAAATGTTTGGTTCTTTAAAATGTATTAGAAGAGTTGTACCAAGCCTAATAGTGTATTTCCTAATTCAATTACACTACAAATGCAGTGTATTTTGAGTGATTTTTAATCAGTCAAATGAGCATATAGTCTTCCCTATGGACCACATCAAGAAATAAGCAATGAACAACCATAACAAGACATGCTTGTAAATACCCTTTGGAAAAGACAAACAAACTGTCCGAAGGCCTGATTTTAGACTGAAAACTGCTGACGCCTGAGGTGAGCCAAATGAACTTTGGCCTTCTACAGTTAGAGAGTTCAGAGCCACAAAAGAAACACTATTTGGAGAACCTGTCACCCTAACTCAATCCTGCTTCTCCACCATATTACCTTTCAACATTTTCACTGCAACAGTAACAGCTTCCTTTGGCCTGTCTTTGTCAATTCCTACTGCTTCCGCCATAACAACTTGACCAAAGCACCCTTCCCCAAGGGGCTTCCCGAGCGTCAACCTGGAGATGTAAACAGAGGATTAGTGCACAGCATCTGGTGAAGTTGATGTAACACAAGAGCTAAAAATAAAGGGATCTTTCAGCAAACATTTTGACTAGGGCATTTGTCATAAAGCACTAACAAGCGTATTATAGTACATCTGAGAATTTGTGCACACTCCTTCACTCAGTCTTCTGAAGAACAAGTATGTGTGTAATGAATGTTCACCTGGCAAAACCTCCCTATATAATGTCAGGAACAGGAATTTGATTTAAAGCTAGCTGGTAAGACATACAGGGCTCTCCAACCTTGACATAATTTAATATTCCAGTATCTTAAAGATACCATGCACTTTTTAATAACTTGCTCTGAAGCTTGGCTCTTGTTCCCTGCTCCCAATAAGTCCCACTCCAGTTAAGTCACAAAGTGATTAGAAACGTATCTGTCTGGTTCTAACACTTCTTTCATTAACTAAAAGTTAAAGTGATTTATTAGGGTGGCCATTACAACTTTGTGAAGGTCACGTTTGGATTCCCAGTTCTGAGATGGGAGAAAGAGGACTGAACATGGAGCTGGGGATCTGTGCTCTGGTCCTCCTCTCCCACGTCTCAGCTGGCACAGAAAGAACCGCACTGGCTGCCCCACTGGGTCAGAAAAAGGTGAAGGGGGTGTTCTGGGGCAGGAGAGGAGACTGGGACTGCCAGGATATGAACTATCCTGACAGTGCTCCAGCTTCCTTCTCTCCCCCTCTGAAGCATCTCAACTAGATGGCTGCAAATGTCCGTCTAGCTGAAATGCACAGAAGGAGGTTCACACCACTGCTGTGTCTCCTGCTCTGGCCAGGTTGGCTGCAAGCCTCTGAGTTCAGGGGCTTCCAAGCCCGGACAGTGCAATCCGAGAGCGCTTTGAAATATAACAGGGCAGAAGAGATTAGGACAGGGATTTTTAAATGTGAATTGTATTCCTTCTGAATGAATTGTATTCCTTAGGAAAAGTGGTCCTGTTTTTCTTAAGACACTAAAAGAAATGTGTGCAGACCCTATTCTGAGTTCTTATTCCACAGAAAATACAGGGCTCTATTCCAGACCCACAAGAAAGGGACCCAGGATCAATAGCACAAAAATTTCAAAGCATTTTCATCTGCAAAATCAGGTAGGAGGGCTTCTATATCTGGGTGGGATAATGCAAGATAATGTATTCTCAACACATCTGGAGAAAAGCACACACTTCACCCTCTTAATACTCATAATTAAAGAACTTCTATGTATGTATCTCTGATGGTAAAGTAAAAGCCTTTATCCATACAATTAGACACTCTTTCTGAGGAGGGCTTGTGACTCTTTAGTGCTGTGGTTTCAAGCAGTACATTCACAGAAGAAAGTCCTGAGCTATCAATATTGTAAAGATGAGAGGATCCAGCTGTCATACTTAAAGGAAAAGGATCCTCTCCCTGGAACAAAAATGTAATCTTGAAGAGTATCAGAAATAAAGGATACAGTTTTTCATATGAAGCTTTGTTGTTTTCTCTACATATATGTATATGTGTAAGCATATGTATGTGTTATGGCCAATTGATTGTTAGTAACAATCACAGATTAAGAATTAAGCACAGACAAGATGCAGAATTAATGAGAGCGCCTACTGCTTATATCATTCACTAGCTGTATTAAAGTGTCTCATCTAAGAAGAGTGCTCTGTATTTTCTCCCGGAGAAAATTAAGTGGGCCTGGCAAAATGCCACAATTAAAAATCAAATGGGATGAGAGTAAATAGATACTTTTAATTGAAAAAGGCTTTCAATTTAATTATGCCAATGTCAATGTATATATTGTCCTATATCTGTTATGAAAAGGGCATGTTGCTTTGACAATGCACAAAGACCAAAGGGTCGTATGTTTTGTGCTGAGATCATGCCGCATTTTCTCTGAAAGTAAAATTCAATTTAAGATCTTGGCAGAAAGCAAACATTTGCATTGGAAAATGGTTAATTTATGTGCTCTTGTGCTTCTAGCACGAGCATAACAATCCTGTCATTGTGCGCCTGTGGCACCCCCAATCTAATAAACTGCTCGTAAAGAGCCTTCTTTCATTACAACCCCGCTCCACCCACATTTATGCCGAATGTTGTTTTCAAATGTTTAATGCTCTAAGATTTTCCGCATTAATGTTTCCCCTAAGGGAAAGACTGACAGAATTAAGTATACAGACCCCCACTGTTGACTAGAACCTTGCAGGTGGCAAGTGAAATGTATGCCACTGCCTTTCATCCACATAATTAAGAATATTTCCAGAAATGCACATAAAAGCGTTTTTAATTACTATTTTATAGAAATACCACAGCTAAACTTTCAAAGCAACTGCTCTGTAGTTTCCAAAAATGTAGGGCAGATTCTAAAATCTGTGTAATGATTTTCTACACATTAAACACTAGCTATGATAAATTCTGTTTTCCACACATGTGTGTCATGGTTTACTCTAGCAGTATTACAACCCTAACACATACCATGACTGGAACACCATTACTAGCACCTGATGGCAGTGAGAGAAGAATTATTCATGCTGTTTGCAAAATCTTCAAGCCATCATAAGATAGTCCTGTTGCCATAGAATTTCTTTAGTCTTTGCAATAGAATCCTGCTGAATGCAGTATATACATCTGACTAGGTTGCTACAAGTTGGATCATCTTGTAATTACTATAGGCAAAGGTTTACATGTGCCACTATAAACAAAAAACCAAAAACCAATAGGGTATTTTGTGCAGCTGTTGTGCAAAAGTTGTGCTACACCATTTCAATGTGAAGTCTGATTGTGGAGAATTGCAAGCCTCTAACTGAGGGTGGGAAGGGCTGGAGGCAAAGATTTTGCTTATATATGATTACTAGAAAGCTATATTTGTGTGTGTGTGTGTGTATTTTATATGCATTCCTTTCTATAGATATATACAAATCTGTGTGTGAATACACAAGGGGTCTTCAAAAAGTTTTGGCACTTTTATATTTTCCTCGGAAAAGGTGAGGGCGGGAGGAGTAGCAATTGGTTGTGTCTGAGAGTGTCATGTGACTAGTCTGTCTGGCAAGCCGCCGCCCTCGCAGTTCATTATAAGTATTGTCACACTGTGGTGAAGCGTCTGCAAAACTTATAAATTGCACCAAAGCAGAACAGCGTTCTGTCAGAGGGAATTGTGTTGTTGCACAACAACGTCCACTCCCACACTGCAGCCCAAACACTGGAAACCCGCAGACCATTCAAGAGGGAGGTTACGGAACACCCAGCTTAAACTCCAGATTTAGCACCATCTAGTTTCCACTTTTTTGGACCGCTCAAAGAAGCTTTAAGGGGGAAGAAGATTTTCATGTGATGATGATGTGAAAACAGCGGTGCATCAGTGGTTACAAGCTCAACCCAAAAAAATTTTTGCTGATGGCATTAAAAAGGTGGTATGACACTTGGAAAAATGCACCATAAAGGAAGGCAACTGTATAGAAAAGTGATGTAATTTGTTTTTGAAATTCTTAATAAATAGAATTTAAAAAGTGTAGAAACTTTTTGAAGGGCCTTCATATACTCTTTCTCCCTTTTCTTTCTTTTTATAGGTGTTTTCGAGGAAGGGGATTGAAATTTCACAATAAAAATTAAATATACACTCAGCAAACTGGTATTTCTGCATATATATATTAAACCTAATGTCCAGACTTATTCCCCACCCCCAAAAGAGGAACTCAAGGCAGACAAAATACAGCCCATGTGGGCTCATTTCTAGGTGTATGCAGGTTTGCACACACGACCACGTTACTAGATTTACTCTGTTATCCCTGAGTATGGATACATGCAAAAGGGGTGTTTTGAGGGGATGGATAGTAATGTGTCTTTTACTGTAATTTAAAAAAAATTATTTATACATTCATTGTATATTTTTGATCACACCTCTTATATAACCTCAAGCTTAATTCCTTTCAGGAGGCCATATTTGCTGTTTAAGTTTACTGAAATGGGTATTGTTTAGGGTCTGGGAATGGATTAATTCACTTTCCATTATTTCTAATGGCGAAAATTGCTTCCAACTTCAAATGATTCAGAGTTCAAATGACCTCCTAAAAATTTAATTAAGTTCGAACTACGAGGCAATGCTGTATATGGATTCATTAAACTGTTACAGGCTACATTTTAGAGACTGTCAAGTACCTCTCATTCCATTATCTGTTCATTGACTGAACTTGTGCATAAGCACATATGTACAAATTTGCTCTTATGCAAATTTGCACTTTCAGACCTATATAGGTTTCCTTTAATTTGTGTATTTTCAGGACTTAGTCTATGGGATTTTAAAAAAAAATCATATTTACATAAAATATGTAAAAATTACATAAATTTGCATAAAATTCAGGAAAGGGCAAAACAGCTCACAAATCCACAACATCCTTTTGACTCAAGAAAAAAGTCCATTTAGTATAGAATCTGCAGGTTCACAGAAATCCAAACTCTGGTGAATCTGTCTCAGATTTTGTCAGATTTCTGAGTTTCTACTAAATCACACAATTACTTATCAGAATACCCATGCTAAGTACCATCTCCCAAATCTTATTTTTTTCTTTGGTGTCTGCAACCAATCAGGGATGAAGAGTTATCCCTTTCCTCCCAGGAAATACATAATGGCAAAGACCAACCTGATCCCATTTTACCATCCAGAGAGTTGGCAGCTGAGAAGTTTACTTTCTCTCTCTGCCAAAAATCCTCTCTCCACTACTTGCTTTCCTCTCTGCTCCTCATCCCAAACTTTCCTTCTGTGTCTTGTCTACTAGATTATTGGTTGTGAAATAGAAAAGCATCCATCTGCTAAACCATCTGGTAAATGTAAGAAATTGAAAACTGAGTTGGTCAATTTCAGGGAATGTGATTTAATCTTCCTGTATGCTATTTTTCAACTGAAGAAATATTATCGTTCTTTTAAACCTGGTAAAGATTATCCTACTCAGGAACAATGACATCAGTTGTCATACAGAGACCCAAAACAAAACAAAACACAAAACACCCTTGCTCCTCCCTGAAGCAATTCTCACATTTTTACTAATTATTCAAGCAAATAAGCAAGCAAGAAAGTGAAAATAAAAGAGATTTATCCATCTAGATAATAAAGATTAAGAAAATTTTAACCTTCCTAGAATAATGTATTGAATTTTAAATATTTCAGATCTGTTGATGGCCCATTGTCAACTATGATAGTTTGCTTTAGCATCTGCAGTCGAAATGCAGGCCTAAGTGCATTAGAAAATAATGGACAGGTGTATTCTTGTTCCCCGAGAGCTGCAGGAATGCCTTTAAGGGAAAGATTTCACTTACTTATCTCTTGCAAACTCCCATTTTGGATCTTCTGGTAATTCATATTCAGAGACTCCTGCTAACATTGGAGCTTCTGCATTGGAGGAGAGACGAGTAGTTATCCTCACCAGAGGTGTGTTAGAGTTCATGGAGGAGCTAGAGTCTGCAGATACCTGTACAAGATGCAAAAAGAAGATGTAATTTTTGCCCAATTCCTGCAAGCTTGCTTTAGGTAGCAAGCGAGCCAGCTCATAAATGTTACTAAGCTTCGGCAGCCATTACTGATGTAGCACACAGACATGAGCATCATGTTCTGTTAAATGTCTCCTTACTTCTCAAGCACCAATCCTCTCCCTACAACCCTAAAAGAATTAATTGCCTAAAAGTTCTTTCTCCTTTTTAAAACCTTTCTTTTGAAAAAAAGCAAATAAATAAGTCTAGACGGACTAAATTTGCCAACCATCCACATACATTTTTAAGACTATCCATCAAATTCACCACTTGCATTTGGACATTCAGGCATCTTATCAAGTTTTGGTTTACAGCAACAACTGATTCAGTCAAAACAGTGTTGTTAATTACGAATTAATTTCTGAAAAGGGTTCAGAATGTAGGGCTCTTGAATAAATATTCTGTAGAAAAGAGGCAATTTTGAAAAACAAAAAACAACCATTTTTAAAAAACTGACAAAAATCTTTCTTGTGAACGTAAGTATCAATTTATAGGAAAGAGGGAAAAACCTATCCAGATCATTATGTATTTGTTTAGTCAAAATTCAATCCATAAAGTCAAGGACATTTACAAAGCCTGCCATGTCAAATCATAAACAAAATTAAAATAGCTACTGTACACATCCAAATATCAAGAAGACAGCCTAAACATAAACTTAATATAAAATATTTAGAATACTCTTATGTTTTCATGGGATCTGTAGGAATGGAGTTGGACAAGTATGTAGCAGATAGCAACAAAATTTCTTTGTATAGTATCATTGTTAGCCACAGAGTGTTCCCAGTTAGTCTTCAATAATGTTTACTAGCTGTAATATATCTGAACTAAACATGGAGAAGAAGGTAGAAAGTGCTTTGTTATATGGGATCAGAATTTAACAGCCCCACTAAAATTTGCAGCATGGCTTGTGCCCAGAAGCCTCCAAAATTTACTGCTTAGTTTCATGTGCCATCCTAAGTGTCCTTGACTGCTTATCAAGTCCCGTTCAAGGTGTTTGCTCCAAAACTTCCAGGATGCTGCTGTATTGCTTGAAATCAGCTCTCTCTCTAAGGATCAAAAGATCTTGCAGTCAGTGTCCACCCAGCCACCAGTCACCAAGCAGATGTGGAAACTTACCATACAATCCCAAGACTTCTCATGGGATGAGATCACATGTGCTGTGGCATATTTATGGCACATTGTGAAAACTCTTTGAGGCAGCAGCCACCCCATTGCCATAACACTGTGGTCTGATCACAGTGAGCCTTGCCAGGGAGTTGCAAGCCATGACGTCCTGCACCAACAGTAGCCTACAAAGGGTCTTCAAGGATAGGTCACACAGAGCACACTGTAAGGAACAATGTGACTGGACCTGCATCAAATCATTGCATTCTTCTCATTAAATGGAGAAAGACAAAGATGTTTTCCTTTTCACCACTGAAACATAATATGAGACCGGGTGGCTTTTACAAATACACACACACACACACACACAATTTCCCTCACACATAAGATCTCCAGTGCTTGTCAATGGTTCAGTTTTTGGATGTTCCAGCTGGTCACTCACTCTTACTGTGAACTGCATTCCAAAGGGGCAGAAGGGTAGTAGTAGAAAAGAACACAGCAAATGCCGCATACAGTTCAGAAAGCGAACTTGCTTTGCCATACTTACCATTCCACAAAAACTGAGCAAAAGACATTTGTTTTCATAAACACTGTTGTAATAAGACTAAGCAAAATGCTGTTTAATACATGGATGTACAATTCCATGTAGCATAATCTTATTAAAGATGGTCAACATCATTTCTGATAATTCTGAAATCTATAGTTTCTTTTTTACCACCTACTTTTTTCTTCCAAGCGTTGATGCTTAGCAGCTCTCAGCCCTACTATAGAAGAGTAACTCCAAACATTCCCCTATCACTCGGTAAGTAATATTCAACGAGCAGGTGATTACCTCCTAGCCCAAACTAGACTTTTCAGTTATTTTAACATGGATACCTGACAATGATCACAATAATCTTACATATTAGTGTGAGTTCATATGCAAGTGATGTCATCATTTTTTCAAAACATCTTGTATGGTTTTAATCTTGTTCCAAAGACTTAAACAATAGTTGAAGACATTCTCAGCAAAACTGTGATACATACTGAAAAGGAAAAAATTTCCCTAGCCCCAGAGATATTATTGAAATCCTTTATTCACTGTGACTTAAAGACTGGTAACCTGACACAATATTGTTTTTTGAGTGGCTGCAATGACATGCCAAAAACCAATCCAGCCTGAATTCAAACATTTACAGCCTAAGTAAACATGGGAGTACAATGGAGAACATAACATTGTCTGAAAACACTTACTCGTTTATACCAACAGTATGAGTCCATGATTGACTCTGAGCAGTTATTCCACATTTTTCATTTTGTTTAATTCATATTTTGAATTCCTGCTCTATGTTTGAAGGAAACTAAGCATGGTGAGACTAAGAGCAAAATTGCTCTTATCTTTCAATTTATTTCAATAGTCTTCATGCTTTTTAAAACTGTTCAGAGATCTCAGTACAATGTGTTGAAAGAATGAGAGGATTATGCTGGAAACTGATGGTGAGATGCAAGCCAAACGTAGTCCTGAAGATCCCAGTGTAAACTCTTATGAAAAAGAAGAGGACAGAGCAGGACAGAAATTAGAGTACACTGTTATTAGTAAGCTAGAATGACTGTTCAAAAATGAAAAAATGCATGAGAATTTTTAATGTGAATCCAAGCTTGGCAAAAATTCAGTACAGCACTAAGTTAGCCAAAATCAGCCAAACCCAGCTCTCTTTCAAATGAAAGAACAGACAGTTTGGACTACTACAGAATGATGGTAGACAACTTTACAAAATCCAGATATTGTTTTTAAGAGTAATGAACTGTGATCATTTCGAGGCAACAAGAGATTCCTTATGTGCTACTTAATGCATACTGGAAAAAAATCTGAAGGTTGTTAGTTCACTACATAGATATGGATGTACTGACACTTATCTCATTAATTTTATCTTTTGATTTTTTTTAATCCAGAAAAGGCTGTTAAAGCAAGTGTGAGTGAGACAGAGAGGGCGGGGAGAGAGCAAGAGAGTGAGCGAGCTATGGTACATTGCAGGGAATAAGGTTGGAAGAAACATGTCACTGATACCTTTGTGTGTCCAGGGGGAGCCAATTCTGCCCATTTTGTTGACATAGAAACTGTATCACCAAGCAAAACTAAATTAATATAATAGTCAAGACTACATCCAAAAGAGGAATCTATTGTATAAGGATTATTTGGCATTAGATTTTTTCTTTTCTTTTTTTAAGGAACAGACCGGTCTTGCAAGTAATGTATTCTTGATTGATTCATTGGAGCAGAGCACAATATTATGGAAGCAAAAGGACTATAAAAGCCTTCCGCAGGAAAAAAAGACTACAGCAATACAAGTTGGCCCAGGGTCCAAGGTAGCCTTCTGGGGCAAGACTACATGTTTAAGAGTTCTGTTCTTCCACTGAAAACAAGAAAGAAAAAATCCCCCAGATTATGTGAATTTTCTATAGATTATTTCACTTAACTTTGATTATTTCTTATTCCCATTAGATCAAGCAGGTACCCCAAATAAATTGGATTTCAGGTGAGCATGAAAAATGGTCAGGAATCCTGAAATATGTAGGCAAAACATCTGAAAGGCAGCTGGGTTGGGGGAAGGTAGACTTAAGGTATTATGTCTGCAAGAAGAATGTAAGGCATGTCATATAGGACACTCATCTCTTCTTCTCTTATGTATGCATTTTCTGTGATGCAAAATGAGCATCTTTTTGCACACAGATGTCTTTCCTCCAAGTTACTGTCAACTGCTTGTGTAACTGGCAACTTCCTGAGGAGTGCTGAGGAGGAGCACAGAGGATAGAAAACATCTTCTACAAAGATACGTGTTCCTTTGGGCTTTATAGAGTAGAATGGTTTAAAAAACGGGGGAGGGGGAGCCCTTACTTAAAGAGATGTGAAGGATATTTTCTAAAGCAAGACCTTTTCCAAGCTTTTACATATAACTTATGCAGAACTACATCCTGAAGGAGCATTCTTAATCAATCCTCCCCTTGATTTAGATATGCTGGTTTTCTACAGCTCTCAAGCTACCAGCATGTCTCCTAAATGGTATGAGTGGCCCAGAAAAGCTGATCATTGAATGTTTCATTTTTGCCTTACGAACGTCATTGTCAAGTATTGTAAGTGTCATACTCAAACACTGCCTCTAGTCTCTGGACTACTACCAATGAGGAAATATGGGTGTGACATGCATGAAGTCCAATGAAAAGCATTCAGCAGGGCAACTGCAGGTGATTAATGACAGGATAAAATGGAGAGGAGAAAGATCCTGCAAGCTATCTCAAGTTCTTTGGAGGAAAACAGGCAAGATACAAATGGTATTCTCATCTTATTATTCTCCTTTTGTATCTAATTTTTTGACCATTGGTCCTCTAAGCAGCTATCCAACAACTATAAATGAAAAAATAGAATATAAATAAAACAACAGTGCAAATTATTCCCTAAAAGCATTTGTCGTAACAATATAAAAGGCACAATCAGAATGCATTGTTTGATTGTGGGCCAGCAGCCCATTAAGAAATTTGATTAATTCTTACTACCATGGTGGTAAATTAAGATCTGAACTGCTTATCTACGTAAAAGGGTCGGTACTGTGGGTCTTGCTGTTTCCTCAGAAGAGGAAACTATGGAGGACTACCTGAGGAAAGGCAACAACCTCCACTGGGATGTGTAGTAGAGAATCTCAGCTCCACATATGGGGGTCCTGTGGTAGATGTTTCCTTAGATGCTTTCATATTTCTGACTTGAAATAATTAATTGAAGATAAAAATATGTATCCATCAGCCCAAATTTGGAATTCATCTTTCTGCATCAGCTGCTTCCAGAAGAGGCTTTAACTATGCAGTC